GCCTCCGTCGTTCAGGATGGCGTTCTCGCCCCAGCGCGGCCTCTTTCTCGCGCGCCCATCCGCCCGCCACCACCGCGCCGCACCACCACCCACCACCGACACCACCACCACCACCACCACCACCACCAGCCCTAGCACCAGCACCAGCACCACCACCAGCACCAGCACCAGCACCAGCACCAGCACCAGCACCAGCACCAGCACCAGCACCAGCACCAGCACCAGCACCAGCACCAGCACCAGCACCACCACAACCACACACGCACGCACGCACGCACGCACGCACGCGCACCACCACCGACTACGCACGCGCGCGCGGAGCCACAAGTCCGCTACGACACGCGTCCGCGGATAGAGAAAATCAGCGCCATGGTAAGGGATAGGAGGGAAGGGTAGGACGTCAGATATGACGCGAGCGCACCTAGCTTGTCCCCCTCCCCCTCCCCCTCCTCCTCCTCCTCCTCCTCCTCCTCCTCCTCTTCCTCCTCCTCCTTCTCCCCTTCCTTTCCTCCTCCTCCTCCTCCTCCTCCTTCTCCCCGTCCTTTGCCTCCTTGTCTCCTCTGCCTGCTTCTCCTGCGCCCTCATCCCCCTTCCCCTCCTCCTCCTCCTCCTCCTCCTCCTCTTCCTCCTCCTCCTTCTCCTCGAAAGTGCGTCGACTCGGCTTGGGAACTGCGCGTGGCAGCCAAACTCTGAAAGCATGGAGGAGGGAATGGGAAGGAACGACGGGACGGAAAGAGAGAGACGGAAGGAGGAGAGGACACGGAGGGGAGAGAGGATGTTTTTCCTTCCAGTCGCGCGGAAGCGGTCAAATTCCTTCCAGTCGCGCGCCGCCCGTCGACGCGACAAACGCCGGCCAATTGGGCCGCCATGCGCAGCGAGCGCGTTAGAACATTACTGAAGTCCAACAGGCGACAAGCCAAACGCATGCCAGCCAGTCAGGTTGTGCAGGTTGCTTGCGCGGAGCAGGTACGGAGGTAGAGGTATGGATGTATGGAGGAATGATGCTATGGGCGCGCGCAGGCATGGATGAAGGGCCGCATGGATACGTGGAGTCTAAGTGCGTGGGGCAATGGATATATTTGTGTATGGTGTTACATAGTCAAGGACATCTGGAGGCATGGCACTATATATGTATATACATATATATGTATATATATATATATATATGTATAGGTATATATATATATATATATATATATAATATAATATTATCTAAAATATAAACTAGAACCATCGCGCGCGCGTCGCGCGCGCTCAAGTTCTAGCCAGGATCCTCACCATCGTCATCATCGCAATCATCACCATCGTAGTCATCGTCATGGTCGTGTTCACCATTACCATCACCAGCACAACCATCATCATCACCACCATCATCGTCATCATCGTCAGCACCATCGTCATCATCGTCGTCGTCATCGTTGTCCTCGAGCCCTGGACCCCGTCGTTCCGCGCCATTTCTCGAGCCGCATCGATCCGCGAGGGTCCTGGGACCCGAGGCGGTGCGACAACGCCCGTCGTGAAACAAAACGTTGCAACGCCAGGACCTCAGGGCTGGTCCTGAGGACCCCCCCCCCGAGACCCTGGCGCTGGCTTCTGCTGGCCGGCGAGGCCCGCTGGGCCAGAGGTAGGCGCCCGCGCCCGAGCGAGGCCGAACCCTTCCTCCGCGCGCGGCCCCCTCCCCACGGGCAGGGCCCGGGCCGGCCCGCCGCGGGGCGCGGGCGGCTCTCTCGGCAGGCATCGGCCCGGGGAGCCCGCCGCGGAGCGACCTCCACGCGGCGTGGGAGAGAGACGCCCCCGTCGCCGCGGCGAAAGACACGGTTTGATCCCGCGGGTCGAGAGCGCACCTCTTCCGGTCGAAGCTGAGCGGGCCGCGGGAAGCTTGGATTAGCCGCGGCGAAAAACATGCCGCGGCTGGAAGCGGGCCTACCGAGGGACCTGCCGAGCACCGCCACGTCGCCCCGCGGCGAGAAGGATCTCATGGGGCAACCTACAAGGGGGGGACTGCCCTCCAGGGGGGGGCGGGGGCGCCAATCCCTCCATTCGTTGGTTTGCACCAGAGCTGACGTGCCCGCCGAGTCGACGAGCACGTGCCTGTGCTGGCCCGTAGGATCTGGCATCATCCCACGCGCTTCTTGCAGATCCGGCGGGAAACTCAGGTGTAGAGCGCGCTGGATCAATTCATTGTGTAGTCGATCCCCGATTCGGAAACAGCACGTCTCGTTTTCGTCTTGTTTCCGTTCTCCCCCGTTCTGCCTCCAATGCGCCTCTGCTGCAAAACGGGGGCGAAGCGAAGACGGCCCACGAAATCGCCCAGAACACCGCTCGGGTGGACCCCTGCTCCCCGGCGCCTCCTGGCGCTGTATGCGCCAATGCGCTGCGGATAGAAGTCGGGGGTATATATATATATATATATATATACATATATGTATAGATATATTCACATCTGTATTTATATTTATACATATATATATATATACATATGTATATATATATACGGATGCGGACGACGCTCCTCTCTCTCGGAGCGCGAAGATACCGCTCTCCTCCCGAAGCGCGCAGATCCCGCTCCCCTCCCTCGGAGCACGAAAATAGCGCCCCCCGCCCTCGGAGCACGGCGCCCTTCCGAGACCACGACCCCTCTCGGACGCGCCCCCGCGAGCTTGCATGGACAATGGACCCGGTGGCTGCCCAGAGGGTTCCTCTCCGTGGGCCCGCAGCACCCGCCGGCGCACTGCGTGGTCAGGGAGCCGCACCAATCGGCACGGCGGCATGGCGGAGGGTCGGTGTGTCTGATTTTCCGGCCGCCCCCACGCAAGCGCGCTGTCAGGCGAAGGGTGTCACCGTTCCCGATGTCGTAAGAAGATAAACGCTTGCCGTTTTCTGTCGGACGCCCGTCGAAAAGAAGGCGCTGGTGGTCAAGGGGGATGCCGGCCCGTGATAGGATGATGAGTTTGATGCTGTATATCGTGTCGGTGACCAGGGCGTTCATGGCCAACGTATGACCCGCCAAGGGCTTGACGAACATCTGCATGGTCCTGCGCTCGACACTCGCGGAATTGGCCGTGGAATTCGGCACACAAGGCGAATGCGGCGAGCGCTGGGACATGAACGCGGCGACCATGATGAAGATGGCCGTCAAGAAGGTGAAGACCAAAGCGGTGGCCTGGGGGAAGTAGCACTGACCATCATAACCGCAGCCCCAGGCCATGGCAGTGCCGGCGCTCCTGAGCAGGACGGTGTGGTGTGCGACAGACGCGACCTGCGTGTAGGTCAGGTCCTCGATGGCCTGGGGGAAGCAGCACTGATCATCATAACCGCAGCCGCAGGCCATGGCAGTGTCGTCGCTCCTGAGCTGGACGGTGTGGTTCGTGACAGCGGCGACCTGCGTGTAGGTCAGGTCCTCGATGACTTGGGGGAAGTAACACTGACCATCATAACCGCAGCCGCAGGCCATGGCAGTGCCGGCGCTCCTGAGCAGGACGGTGTGTTGTGTGACAGCGGCGACTTGCGTGTAGGTCAGGTCCTCGATGACCTGGGCGAAGCAGCACTGACGATCATAACCGCAGCCGCAGGCCATGGCAGTGCCGGCGCTCCTGAGCAGGACGGTGTGGTGTGTGACAGCGGCGACCTGCGTGTAAGTCAGGTCCTCGATGACCTGGGGGAAGTAGCACTGACCATCATAACCGCAGCCGCATGCCATGGCAGTGCCAACGCTCCTGAGCAGGACGGTGTGGTGTGTGACAGCGGCGACCTGCGTGTAGGTCAGGTCCTCGATGGCCCGGGGGAAGCAGCACTGACCATCATAAGCGCAACCGCAGGCCATGGCAGTGCCGTCGCTCCTGAGCAGGATGGAGTGGTACGTAACAGCGACGACGTGCGCGCAAGGGAGGCCCCGCAGCAGCGCACGGGCAAGAAAAGTTGTCCGAAACATGGATATATGAAAGGCCTACGGCGGTAGGCACGCCAGAATATGGATATACAAATTGATAGAAACAATAATTGAAGGTTTTAACCGAAACGGCCACAGAAGGAAGCTGAGGAGGTACCATGTCCGATGGAGAGGGTAGCATGTGTCCAAGGGCGGAGGTTCGGCCCGTCCTGTTTCGTTCGAGGGTCGAGGTATTCGGATGCGTTCGTTGGTTCTTGGATGTGTTCTCGACTTGGGATGTCTGCCAGCAGCTGCGCCTCGGCGAGGGCGTTCTGACGCATCAGAAAAATTGGAGCGCGCGGATGTCTGCGAAATTCGAACTGCCAGGATCTGGCTTGCGGGCCAAACTCGAGCCTCCGGCGGCCATTCTGAGACGATTCCAAAACCTCCCCGGGATTGTCCCGGGGTCGTTGAATGGCCCCCGGAGGCCGAAAACGACGACGTCGTCGGCGGCGGCGGCGACGACGACGACGACCCCGCGGCCAAGGCAACAGGGTTGCTCGACTAAGCCATCTGCCGTCGAGCTGGAGCGACCTGACTGGGATCTCGAGGCGAGCCTGGTCCTGGAATTTATCCCACGGGCGGTCCAGCCGTGGCGAGGGCCGATGAAACCGGCGTTCGAAGCAAGTCGGGGGCCTGGACCGCTTCTGCAGGACCTTGTAGATCTATGGCGAATCCACAGGAGGTCGTTCTTCGAGTGGTTTGCCGGGCCACGAGTCCGGCCTCAGCGGCCATTCGGAACGATTCGAGCACACCCTGGGCACACTGTCGGTGAGGCGTGACATCCAGAGAGCAGAAAGCCCCGAAGTAGAAAAGAAGACCTCCGAACACATCCGATGTGTCGATGTGCGAACCTGGATATCCTGCTCCGTCTCCTCTTCCTCGCCCTCCTCCTCCTCCTCCTCCTCCTCCGCTTCCTGCACCCAGAGATCCGATGTCGTGTTTTGTTGAATAGGGGGTCACCGAAGGTCCACGGAGGTGACGACAACTTCCCTGAGGCCCGTTTGGCCCGACAGCGGCCGCGAGAGGCTGAAATCGAAACAACCCCCAGGCGAGGAGACAACAGGATGAGGGCGAGCAGCAAGGGAGCAAGAAACAGCGCGGCCTCCTGGCCCAGGGAACGGCGATATCGGCCATGGCCGCGCTGGGGGGCTGCCCGGGGCGCGGGGTCGCCGGAGATAGAGGGAGAGGCGCGCGGCGCACGGCTCGCACCCAAGCGGCCGGGGCGACACAGAGGGTGTGTTTGCGGCGCGCACAAGGGGGTGGCGCCAGGGGGGTGGCCTTCTAAGAAGCCAGGGGGGTTTTAAGAATGCAGGGGGATCTTTAGAAGCCGGGAGAGCTTCAAGAAGCCTTCCTAGAAGCCCCCGAGCACTTGAAAGGAGGCTCCCACCTTCTTAGAAACTCCCCGGCCGCTTAGAAGGCCACCCCCCTCGCCCCTCCCCCCTCTGCTTGCCGCTGAGTGTGATGGCACCACGACGGCGAGAACGACGACGACGACGGAGACACCCCAGGCTGCAGAGGAAGAGGGTGGTCAGGGAGTGGGCGTCGGCACCGAAATCAGCTAAGTAGACATGGGCTGTCCCGACGGAGGAGGACGAGGAGGCCACAGAAACAACGGCAGCCCCCATCCTTTCAAAGCTAACATGTGCACGCTAAGCTCGCACCCTCGGCCCCAACTAACACCACACGCGCAGTTCGAGCGCGCTGAGGTTCCAGCAGCCCCCATCCTCTCAAAGCTAACATGTGCACGCGTGCACGTAGCCACCCATGGCAGGAGCATGAACTGGAGAGGTAACAATGGCGCGGTTCCAGCAGCCCCCATCCTCTCAAAGCTAACATGTGCACGCGTGCACGTAACCACCAATGGCAGGAGCATGAACTGGAGAGGTAACAATGGCGCAGACCGAACAGGGCCGTAGTACACACGAGGGCGCACACAGACGTATCGAATGCAACGCCATGCAGACCAATGCGAGTAGTAAAACAAACGCCAAACGTTGCAAATGCAGCGCGATTCACAGCATTATTGTTGAATTGAAATGCAATGCACATGCTACTCAATGCAGGCAGCTCAACGGAACGGATCGGAAGGAAGAAGGGGTGCATATGAAAGTGTCCGAAATCGCATGGGCTCGTTTCGGTGCCTGCTCGGGGGCTCTTGGGGGGCCTCCCGGGCCTCTTGGGGTCTTTGAGAGGCCTCTTGTGGTTTCTCTGTGGAATGCTCTTGGGGCCGAAGGGCCCCGTAAAGTGGCGCTCGGATCCCGCGTCTGGGCCCCTTCTTGGAGCCGTGTTGGGACTCTCTTGGGCCGTCTTCGAGGCCTCTTAAGCGGTCCCGGGGCGCTCTTGGGCCGTCTTGGGGCCGTCTTGGTGGCCTCTTGGGCCGTCTTGGGGCGATTTTGGGTGCCTCTTGGCCGTCTTGGAGCGCCAGGGAGCCCAAAAGGAGAGAAAGCCAAAAACATCGAAAAACACAATGGAAAATCCACGATTCGAGCCTCTTGGGGCCCTCTTGGAGAGCCTCTTGGAGGCCTCTTGGGGGTGCATATGAAAGTGTCCGAAATCGCATGGGGCTCGTTTCGGTGCCTGCTCGGGGGCTCTTGGGGGCCTCCCGGGGGGCTCTTGGGGGCCTTTGGGAGCCTCTAGTGGTTTCTGGGGATGCTCTTGGGGCCGAGGGCCCGTAAAGTGCGCTCGGATCCCGCGTCTGGGCCCCTTCTTGGAGCCGTGTTGGGACTCTCTTGGGCCGTCTTCGAGGCCTCTTAAGCGGTCCCGGGGCGCTCTTGGGCCGTATTGGGGCCGTCTTGGTGGCCTCTTGGGCCGTCTTGGGGCGATCTTGGGTGCCTCTTGGCCGTCTTGGAGCGCCAGGGAGCCCAAAAGGAGAGAAAGCCAAAAACATCGAAAAACACAATGGGAAATCAACGATTCCAGCCTCTTGGGGCCCTCTTGGAGAGCCTCTTGGAGGCCTCTTGGGGCGTCTTGGAGGCCCCTTGGGCCGTCTTGGGGCCATCTTGGGCGTCTTGGAGCGATCTGGGACCGCCTCGGGGCCCTCTTGGACCATCCTGGGGGCCTCCTGGGGCCGTCTTGGAGGCCTCTTGGGTCGTCTGGAGGCTCCTTGGAGGCTCCTTGGAGGCCCCGGGGAGGGGGTATCAAAAAGCGTTCCCCGATGGTTGCGGGGTGGGCGGCCCCGCCGGGGGGGGGGGCCTATTTGTTTATATTATATATACATACTCCTCCTTCTCCACTTCCTCATCATCATCACCCCCTCCCTACCCCTTCCCCGTCCTCGTCATTCCCTTGCTTCTTCTCCGCGCGTTCCTCCCCTTCCCCCTGGTCGGGGCAAGCATATCGATGTTCCTCGGCGCCGTCGCCGCCGCAGCCAAAGCGCGCGCATTCCCCGACGGCTGGTTCGCGAAGCCTTTGGGACAACCCCGCGGGCCGCCGGGGCGCGGGGGCAGGCGGTCGGGACAGCCCCGCGGGCCAAGCCGTTGGGACAACCCCGCGGGCTTCGAGCGGGGCGCAGCCGCGCTCAGGCGGAAGGCAGCATGAACCCAAGCTCTGCGGCCGACGATGGGTTACCACCGCCAGCCCGGACGCAAGGGGTTACCCCTGCCCCCGATTTGGCCGACGATGGGTTACCACCGCCAGCCCGGAGACGAGGGGTTACCCCTGTCCCCGATTCGGCCGACGATGGGTCACCACCGCCAGCCCGGAGACAAGGGGTTACCCCTGCCCCCGATTCGGCCGAGGATGGGTTACCACCCCCAGCCCAGACGGAAGGGGTTACCCCTGCGCCCGATTCGGCCGCCGATGGATCACCACCGGCGGCCCGGAGACGAGGGGTTACCCCTGCCCCCGATTCGGCCGAGGATGGGTTACCATCCCCGGCCCAGACACAAGGGGCTACCCCTGCGCCCGGCCGCTGTCTCGTCGTCGTCGTCGTCGTCAGCTCCTCAGTCGCCCTTTCGGGCACGCAGGCCCATGAGAACAACAAATTTGCCGACGACCAGCTCAGACGAGGCTACCCGCACTTCGCTCACAGACGAAGCTCCCGCCTGATACTTCCCCCGCTTTCTGGCCGCAGGAGCTGAGGAGCCCTTCCCCCGTATTCACGCCGCAGGAGCTGAGGAGCCCAAAAAGTGACGAAAGTCAAAGGAATCCGATGACCCGCTCGGATTACCAACATGAAGTGCGGGACCCGTCATGGCATAGAGTCGCCGCGAAGGCCGCTGGAGGCTTCAGTTTTGGCCCAACAGTGACGACAGTTACACGTTTCGGATGACCCGCTCGGATTACCAACATGAAGTGCGGGACCCATAGGGAGGGGGCTCCCGCCTGAGACTTCCTCGCAATGCACTCACAGACGAGGCTCCCGCTTGATACCTCCCCCAAACTCAAGCCTGAGGAGCCCAAAAATGACGACGGCTACACGTTTCGGATGACCCGCTCGGATTACCAACATGAAGTGCGGGACCCATAAGAAGGGCGCTCCGCTGAAAAAAAAAAACAAAAGAAAGAAAAAAAAAAAAAAAAAAAAAAAAAAAAAAAAAAAGACTAACTTCCCTCACAGATTCACTCCGCAAACGAGGCCCCCGCTTGATACTTCCCCCAATTCAAGAGGCCTGAGGAACCCAAAACAAAAAATAAAAAAAAAAAAAAAAAAAAAAAAAACAAAAAAAAAAAAAAAAAAATTAAAATTTGAGAGAGCTACACGTTTCGGATGACCCGCTCGGATTACCAACATGAAGGAAGGACCCCTAGGGAGGGGGGTTCCCGCCTGAGACTTCCTCACAATTCACTCACAGACGAGGCTCCCGCTTGATACTTCCCCCAAATTCAGGCCTGAGAAACCCAAAAGTGACGACAGTTACACGTTTCGGATGACCCGCTCGGATTACCAACATGAAGTGCGGGACCCATAGGGAGGGGGCTCCCGCCTGAGACTTCCTCGCAATGCACTCACAGACGAGGCTCCCGCTTGATACCTCCCCCAAACTCAAGCCTGAGGAGCCCAAAAGTGACGACGGTTACACGTTTCGGATGACCCGCTCGGATTACCAACATGAAGCGCGGGACCCATAGGGAGGGGGCTCCCGCCTGAGACTCCCTCGCAATGCACTCACAGACGAAGCTCCCGCTTGAGACTGTATCCATATTCAAGCTAGGGGGTGAGTGATGACGAAGCGATGAGTGAGTGAGTGGTGATGATGAGTGAGTGAGTGAGTGTGCGAGTGAATGAGTGAGTGAGTGAGTGAGCGAGTGAGTGAGTGAGTGAGTGAGGTTAGCGAGTGAGTGAGTGAGTGCGTGAGTGAGCGATGATGATGATAGTGAGTGGGTGAGTGAGTGAGTGATCGAGTGATGATGATGGTGACGATGATGAGGATGATGAGGATGAGTGGCGATGCTGATGCATGATGATGATTATGACGATGATGATGATGATGATGATGAGGATGATGATGGTGATGGTGATGATGGTGATGATGCTGAATGTGTGAGTGTGTGAGTGTGTGAGTGAGGAGAGGGGGTGTGGGAGGACTGCGCGGGGTGTCCAAAGAAAACAAGAACCCCACTTTGGATGTGGGGAAAAAACACAGTCATGTCGGCGACGAGCTCCCAGGGACATTGATATTGAATGCCCATGAGCCGCCCGAGCACTGACCTGCCGAATCGGCCGTGGAACGGCCGCCTCAGGGCCACAATGAATCCGCCGACCCCTTGGGTCATCGGCGTGTGGGGGTGGCAGGGGGATGGCAGGTAGGGGTGGGCGTGGTGGGCGGGAGGGGGTAGTAGGGGAAACGGGTGGTGGGGGGTAAGGGGGTAAGGAGGGGTGGGTGAGGGGCAGGGAAGTGGGAGGTAGGTGAGGAGATGCTTCCCCCCCCCCAAAAACCCCTCCCCTGGGAACCCGGTCCGGTCGATTTGGAGGGGGGGGGGGGGGGGGGGGGCGGGGGGGGGGGGGGGGGGGGGGGGGGCCGACCACGAGCGACTCACGACGCTCTTCCGGGCCCAAAAAGGCCCAAATACGGGCCAAAAAGGCCCCAAGAGGCCTCCCAGACGTTCCAAGGGGCCCCCAGACGCCCCAAGAGACCGCCTAGACGCCCTAAGAAGCGCCCAGGAGGCCCCAAGAGGCTTCCAAGACGCCCCACGAGGGCTCCAAAACGCCCGAAGAGACCTCCAAGACGCCCCAAAAG